TGTCTCTGGTGAAGCCTCTCACCCTCCACATCTCTGGCCTGTACCCCAGTTCCGTATGAGTAAATAAATAAATCTTTAAAAAAAAAAAAAGTACAAAGTACGCCTGTGGGGCCCTGAGGCAACCAAGAAGAAAATGGGGTAAGGCCTCCCCTCACTGGCTGCTTCCCCTGAGGCCACAGGGTGGAGACTCAAGTCCTCCCTTCTTTCCTGGTTCTAGGAAGCAAAACCAGTTGCTACTTCTGACCCCTTTTAGCCCAATACCTAGAGTTCTGGGATCAGTAGGAAGATGGGAGGTCAGGAGGAGAGAGGAGGCTGCGCCTGGGTGCCACAGGGCAGAGGACCAAGTACCACTGACTTCGCACCACTGCCCCAAGCCGTGGCTCTGTGATGGCTGGTGCTTGCCCCGGGGCACCGCGCCTGCACCCACCTGTGCACCTGCTCCAGCTTTATGAGATGGGCAGAGGGTCGCACTACATGGCGGGGAGGAGTCTCTGTGCTCTGATGACTGCTCTGCAGCAGCCCTATCTCAAGGCGGCAGGGCCCCCCTGAACGCACGTGCCCTAGCCGGGCACCCTGCCCACACCCAACTCCCTGGTCTCACCTCATTGACATCAATCTTGTTCCTCTCCATGTAGTCTCTGTCATTGACCTGCCCGCCATCCACAAACTCCATGAGAAGGACCCGCTTGGTGGACAGATCCCAGTAGATCCGGGGCACCTGGAATCAGAAAGGGCAGGTCAGAAGGGAAAGGGAGGCGAGGAGCCAGGAGCAAGGGCCACAGAGAAGAGGCCCCCAGGGGGCCTCAGGAGGGAGGGGTGGGGGGGCGGTCTGCTCTGGCTTGGCCCCTAGGGCCTGTCCTCCTGCTTGGGACAAGAGCCTGGCCTCCTGCCCTGATCCTCAGGGACTTCCAGACACTGTGAAGAACCAAAACGAAAACTGGGCCCTGAGGGGAAATGGGCGCAATCCAGCCAGAGCTGGTGCTAAAAGCCATTTCCCATTCTCAGCAGGCCCATGTTAGGCTCCTCACATAAATCTCAACCCTCTGCCCCAAACCATACATCTGTGTGATGGGTGTATTATATGGATATAGCTGGGTAAGTAGTAACTTCTACAGAATGATAAATTTTTAAAGTAGAGAGTCCTGAGTTTTCCCACTCCCTACAAGCACCTTGTGGCAGAGAATGCTAAATCCTAACCTAACACCTAGTCCAAATCCTCCTCCTTCCCAGAGACAAGGAAAAAAAAATACATACTTTCCCTGCCTGCCCTGCAATAGAAGTGACACAGTTCCTTCTGGCTTACGAGACAGAGTGGAAATCTGCTAGGCTTTTATTGTCCTGATAAAAAAGAATGTTTGTAGGCAGTATAACTCTCCCTACCCTTCACTTCCTGCCTTAAGAATGAAAGTGATATCTATCCGGAGTAGCTGCAGTCATTTTGCAACCATGAGGGAAAATCCAAGAAAATCACAAAGTTGTCATTCCTGAGGTTGTCAGACTATTAAGACAGAATCAGCAGGCGGCTGCTGTCTCTTGCCATGTGAGGAAAATAAACCCTTTTTAAGACACTCTAAATTCACTTTAGAGTGAATTACCAGTAGAACACTTACCAGTAGAACAAATGCACTCCTACCTGATAAATTTTCCAACACCTTCTGACTCTCAGAACCCCCAGTAGTCAAGAGAACAGATTTCCCAGGAGTCAGCAGGGGGCCAGTTGCACCCAGGGCGCTGGGCTGCCACACAAATGAGCCGTACCCCTCAGCCAGGAGCAAGGGGCTACTGGCCTTAAGCATGCCACGCTTCCCCCAAATGCGATGGGTTTGTTTCCACTTACAAATAAAGAAACAAGAGCAACTGATCCTAGAATTTTGGGAAATAGGATTTCCCGCACTCCAACCCACAAAACTCAACCAGCTGTAAGAGAACGGCCCTCAAGGCAAGAGACTGGTTTCCTGTTCTAGCTCTGCTAACTTTGTGAGCTTGGCATTCAGTCTTGCTTGGCGTTTTTCCAAAAGTATCCTTAAAAATATGAGTGCAAGTTGTTGTTCATGGCATCCAAATAGAAGGGATAGATTTGGGGGTTAAGCTCTTCCCTGTGCTTACTTGGAAACCAAAGTTTGCCAGTGGGCACCTGGGGTTCTGGAAATGAGCGGTCAGACCCCTACCTGGGTCTGCCTGGGGCAACATGGAAAGCAGCCAGGAAAGCGCCTCAGATGGGAAGAGAAAACCCAAAGGCTGGGGACACTGAGCCCCAGGGGTGTGCTCGGTCTCCCGCCTCCACCTTTCCCCCCACATCTCCCTCCACACGCAACCATTCCAGTCTGATAACTGAATGAGCCTCTTGCTTCTGCTAAGATCTGAAATGGCAGAAATGTCAAACCTAGGAGACAGAGAGGTTTCTCAGGGTGACTCAAGGATGGACTGAAGGAATGTTTACCCAGAAATGGTTGCACAATGCAAACATGTTCCTGCTCAGTGAGGAGCAACTTGACTTGACGAGGGACACGAGATCAACAGGTTTGTCCCTAAATCACCATGTGGGCAGGAGAGGTGGGGGTCATAAGGTGAAATTCACTTTCCCACAACACCAACATTTTCCCATAGTTGCTTCCCCCAACTTCTATCAAAACAGCAAAAGAGGAAAGAAAAATTTCAATGAGGCAATAAGAAGAACCCCAGGGTCACCCCCTGCCAAACAAAAGTAAAGCCTGGAAGGCTATGGCCAAGATACCCACTGACCGCACAGGAAGGGTCATACCCTGGCCAATAGGGCCTCTGGGTTCAGGGTCTACCTCCAGACTCCAGGTGTCCTCTACACTGGACCAACCTGCCCCCAGAACCTGGGCTTCCATTTTGCTACTGTACCTTGTCAACATGCCCATGAAACAGGTCCTGGGTGGTGCCCACCACTCAGGGCCACAGTGTCCCCCCAAGAGGAGCAAAACACAGACCTGCAATCAGACTGTCAGATGGGAACCAAGCTGTGTGACCATGGGGAAGTGTAATAACCTCTCTGAGTACCATTTTCCCCACCTGCAAAATGGTGATGGCATTTACTAGGAAGCAAACTCCCTCAGAGGCCTGGTGCTTAACAGAGCAGCAGACACTTAGCACCAGCCGGACAAACATCAGCTGCCATGCAGCTCCCCAGGTCTTCTGCAAACAACAGGGCCAAGACGTGCCGCCTAGAGGCCCGCACAGAGCAGACCTCGCCCGTAAGTGGTCGTGCGGGCAGAACAGCACAGCAGTCAGCACGCAGGCCTGCAGCCAGGCTGCCTCTGCAGAGCTGCCTCTTCCTGTGCCCCTTCCCAGGAAGTTTCGTAACTCTAGGCAGGAGCCCTTGTCTCTCTGGGCCCCAGCTTCCCCTGGTGATGTGGAGCTAAGAATGGCACCTCCCTTATGGGGGTGTTTCAAAGATTAAAGAGTAAATGCATGGAAAGCACTTTAAAATGCACCCCACACAGTGTAAGCATGTAAAAAACACTATTATCAGTTACCACAGGTACCCCCAGACCCCGCCCGCACAGTGATGAGGGACAAGTCAAGTAAGACCTCGTGTCCTCATGTCAAGTGTCGCTCCTAACCGAGCAAGAACAGGTCTGCATTTTGTAAGCACTTCTCAGCCCCCTCCACAGCAGGGGCGCCCTCCTGAGCCTACCAGGCAAACCCCTCTGTCTCTGTGTTTATAGTCTTACCATTTCAGACCTAATCGTTATTAGCCTTTGAGATTCAGTGGTTCTTCATCTTTGATTCTTAGGAAGCGCTGATGCTTCTCCGAAAGCATGTACATCCTCTCAGAGTGGTCCACAATTTCTGGAGAGTCCTGCTGTTTTACCTGGCACTGAGAAACCCTGGATGGCTCTGCTCAGGTGATGACACCCCAGCCCCCACCCCATACAGGGAACTTCATCTCTCCCAGTTCCGACCCCTGTGGGGGTAAGGCTTCTCCCTCAGGCCCTGCCCCAGCCACCCCTGCTCAATCACAACCCTCAGCGCTTGTCCTGTCTCCTTCCCAAAACCCTCCAGCACGCACACCATGTGAGGCAAACCCACAGTGGCCTGGCCTTGACCGATGGGCCTGGCTGCTTCCTTGCCTCTCCCAGTCTCCCTGACACCACATTTGCATGCAGCGCTTGGCTGGGAGATTTATGGCACAGGACTGAGGTTACGAAACCCCTCTGGAAGATGCCTCGCACGCTGAGAGGTAAACTCTTCGCTGAGGCTTAATGACACACAGATGTTGTGAAGGGGTGCCAGTGTGCAAAACAATCTATCTCCAGTGTTAAGAGCGGAACAAGGTTCACTGTGCAAATGCGCCTTCCATTTGTGCATGTTTAGGCAAAATTAATTACTCAGGAGCCTTAATCCCACCATTGTCTTAGGGATGGTGTGCAGGCTTTGAAGCAGCAGGTCAAACTGTTACATTAATTATTTACCCATTTGGCATGCTCATTTCAAAAATGTGTGTTATTGTTATTATTACATGTCTTGGTCTGCAGACGCTAGTTGGCCCTAACCAGGGGACAATTTTGCTGTTTCCATGGGAACGGTGGAGGAGATGGTGCTGTTTGTCTGGCTCAGAGTTCTAGCTCTGAGGAGCAACCCTGCCGGGGAAGAGACAGCAGAATGTCCTGAGATACGCACCAGTGCCCAGGTCAGAAAAGCTCGGCCATGTGCCCACTCCCCTGCTCTCAGACTGCTGTCTCTGATAGAGGGTGGATGTCACAGGCAGTCAAAGAGACATCCAGCAGACTGTGTACCCCTTGGCACAATCCACACATCTTCGGAGCCCTCTCTGAGTGCCACATTCTGGGTTGAAATTAAATACTTCCTCTTGGGCGCCCACAGAAACATCCACAGTCACTCTCCAAAGGTGACGATCTGCACTGTAACTGCAGCAGCCCCAAGAGACAGAAAGTCTTCCCAGGCTGGCACCAATCATCTCTTTTCCATAGCAACCCCCCCTACCACCAAAACCACCATCAGCTCCTAACACAGCAACAGGCTTAGGAAAGGCCGGTACAAGTGGAATGAGGGGATGGGCGGCGGGACTGACTACGCTGCCTGGAGCACATTGAAGACCCCACCGCGTGATGCTAGGGTGCTGTCAGTACTGCCTGAGAGAGCCAAGTTTCCAGTGAGTTGGTGGTGGGAACTTGAAGGCCGAGGCAGGGTGAACAGATCTAGTCTGCATGTCTGGATGGACTCACAGAGGTTCCATGTCTATCATGGCGGCCAAGGAAAAGCCAGTCACAACACTGGGGACTTCTACACAGGCTGGTTCCGAACTCACTCAAAGAGCTCAGGTCACCAGGGCGCCACCTCCCATCAAAACCAATGTGTGGCAACCCCACAGCTATGGCTTCTCCTCCCATGGACTAAGATTTACAGGTGAGCGATGCGAACACACTCCCAGTCACCCCGTCTCTGTGAATCCACCCAGAGAGCAGGACGGTTCTTTTATCTTGTGCTGCGCAACTGGGTGATGTTGTGTATTGTAAGCCTGACCCCATCTTCCCCATAAGCCCTGTAAATTTTGCTGTATGATTCTGCATAAACACATATGCCGTATAAATAGCAGAACTCACTTATATTAAATAGACAAATAGCATAATCTATAGAAAATGTTAGAACGGTGCCCGAGTTCAACAGTTTGAAATCGCCACCATCAAAAGTGCTCGTGTGCATCACCAAGGGGAACTCATTCAACACCCCTACCCCCACCCGAGAAAAGACCCCGAAGGAGCTGCTCCCTTCCTGTCCTTTGAGGAGGCAGGAAGGGGAAAAGGGGCGCTCAGGACTGGAACAGGTCCTCCCCGGTACTCTTCTGCCAAACCACCATGCCCCATGGCCCTGTCCCTCTACCTTTAAGAAGTCAAAGTGCTTGAGCATCTGGGCCACTTTCTCGGCATTTCTTCCTTCATTGAGGAAATCCAGTTCCAAAGGCAGGTTCTTCTTGGCCTCATCCACCAGCCACATGAACTCAAACTCTGGAAACAGCTGCTTCACAGCCAGGACGAGCACCTGAAATCCACCAAGCACCCCATCCATCAGCAAGGGAGATGTGTCCCCCGCCAGGTCGGGGACTTGACAACTCCCCGGGCTGTGCAAGGGGTGAGGAGGGAAACTGCCCGTCTCTGTATTCTAAGTCCAAGATGATAACAACTCTGGAAATTAGGGTTTCTCCCACATCCCAAAGATATGCGTGTTCAGGTCACAAGTGTGTCGAAATAGTCCCAGCAGGGGAGAGTATAGCATGGGAGTGCATGCACCCTGCAACAGAAGGTGGGGCTGGTTCCTGTCTTTCACCGCAAGCTGCCAGGAGAACTGGGAAAAACAGGTTTGAAACTAAATGAATAGAAATGGTTGTTTGCTGTTAAAAGTGCGTTGGGTCTTTGGAAATTTGATGAGGCTTTGTGAGAAGAAATATACTGTAAGCTTAACTCACTTATGTCAATGAGCCCACATCAAACTGCTTTTTCCTTTTTTTTTAAGATTTATTTATTTATTCGTACAGAACTAGGATACAAGCCAGAGGTGCAGGGGTGGCGAAAGGCTTCACCAGAGACAGAGTGGGGAGCACAACAGGCAGATTGATGAAGTGCACTGCTGAGGGGAGCAGCGGGCGGGTCAGGAGAGGTCTGCCATGTCATGTGGGTCAGCTCCAGGGTGGGGATCGAACTTGCACTGAAGCAGCTGTGGCCAGCTTCCAGTGTTGCATCCTAACCCACTGGGCCACCAAGGAGGGCCCCAAACTGGTTTTGTTACCTGCAGTTTCATTGAGAGTTACAGTTTCCAAGAGCCCATGCAGGTGTGAAGTGAGGACAGACTGGGCTCACAGCACTACTGCCTCAGTCTGCACAGCAGCTCCGGGAGGTGGCCCAACACGCATCCCTGTCACCCCCTCTTACAGACGAGGAAGCTGAGGTTCTAAGAGAGCAGATGATTCTCCCAAATGTGCCTAGCAAGGAAGTCTGGGGCCAGAATTTGCCTTGGGTGTACCCAGTCCCCGAGCTTTGCTCTGAGGCACAACCCTCACTGCTGCCTTCCCTGCTCCCAGGCTTGTCTGAGCCTACTCTCAAGCACGGAGAGGGCCCTGCCACAGGAACTGTGTCTCACTTATTTCTTAAGCTGTTCTGTTTGGATCAAAGAAATTAAGTTAAGAAACAAGGCTGCTGGTGGCGAAGAGGTTAATGTCGGCACCATAAGCCATCACCAGCCACTGCAGCATGAGTTCAGTTCCCCAGCCAAGGAGCTGATCCACATGGAGCAGCAGACCTCTCCTGACCCACCCACCGCTCCCCTCAGCAGTGTATTGCAGTAGTTCTGCCTGTTCTGCATCCCACTCTGTCTCTGGTGAATCCTCTCACCCCACACCAACACTCTGGCCTGTACCCCAGTTCTAGTATGCATAAATAAATAAGAATAAATCTTTAAGAAAAAGAAATAAAATAAGGCTGGGTAAGACAATAGGAATGAGAGATAAGAGATTAGACCAATTGGAATGAAAAGTTCAGTGTTTTGGCAATTCTTCCAGATATGATGGGAAAAAAAAGGTCTCTTAGAAGAGTCATCTAGAATTTCATCTGTCAATTTAATGATGTGGAATTAAGAAGCACCACTGGCAGAGGATAAGAGCCCAGTGTCATCTGCAGAGCCCCCACGCTGAGCAGGGACATGGATCTGGGGCAGCCCCACCCTGGGGCTCTGGGTCTGAGAGCCTCGCAAGGTCACAGCAGGTGTCTGTGCAGTGGGTGGGTAAGGGGGGCAGGGGGCGTGGAGGGCGAGGCCTGCATTCTGGGAGGGGAGCACAAGGGACAACGCCCCTCTCTCCTATAAGTGCTGGTGTTCAAAGTCAGGTCTGGGCCCCCCCCCCCCGACTGTTGCTCCTAGTACTTCCTGGCATCAATTACAGTCTAAGTTCCCTGAGAACACCCATCTCCATCCCTGGCTACAGAAGAGCAGCCATGAGTAAGAGAATTCAAGACCCCTGGCCCACTGGCACTAAGAGCCCTTTCCCATCTGCCATGGGCTGAGCGTTTGCATGTCCCCAGCCCCAGTGTGAATGCATCTGAAAGTGGAGTTTGGGGGAGGGTGTGAGGTTTAAATGAGGTCATGAAGGGGGGCACCGATGATTGGATGTGTCCTTCTAAGAAGAGGAAGAGAGCAAACAGAGCCCACTCTCTGTCATGTGAGGACCCCTGAGGAAGGTATCTGCCTACAAGTCAGGAGGAAAGTCCCCTCACCCACCCCCGACCTAACCAGAAATCAAATCAGTCAGCACCACGCTCTTGGATTTCCAGCCTTCAGAACAATGAGAAAGAAATGTGTTGTTTAAGCCAGCTAGCCCATGGCATTTCATACAGTAGGTGAACTAAGGTACCATCCATCTATGCAGAAGGACTCAGCCCCAGAGACAACCCTGGCTTACGCTCCCTTTCGTCCTGGCCTGTGATATTCTGCTCAATGCCGTGTTAGATGTATGCGATGCCGAAGGAAGAAAACTAAAGCAGGGCCATTCACCCTATGTCCTGGGTGATGTACTAGAAATCATTCTAAAAGAATCACCACTCGGGGCTATTATCCTCAATTTCTATCAAAACCCATTTTAATTACATTTGGCTGCAGTCTAATTTCTGTGAAGTCTTGTCTAGCCTTTCACAGACTAGACCTGTGACCTTATGATAATCGATTTAGTTTATGTTTTGCTTCTGTGGGTGTCACATGAAACTAGAAGGGAGAGGTGGCAGCAGCGAGGCCTGATGGCATCTGTCAGACCCAGGCACCTGGGTGCAGCCGCCAGACACTGCATCTCGTCCCGTGCCCTCCGATGCCACCCAAGGGATGAGAGCAGGTGCACAGGAAAAAGGCACTGCTCGGCCTGGGCCTAGGACCACAGGCCATTGCGGCATCTGAACTCCACCCTTGGGGTTCAGGCAAGTAATCTCATAGGAGACGGTTCCAGCCCAAGTCACAGGGATTCTCACCCAAGAGACACAAGAGAAGGAGCCAGAGTGAAAGTCACTCATTTGTTCAACCAATTTTACTGATCACCTTCTAGGCAATTACCCTGGGCCAGGTGTGGGTAAATGCAGGGAGCCAGGGGTAGCCTAGCGGGGTCTATTCATGGGGCTGAGGCTTCTGGCCAACCAGTAACTCCTCCTTAATTGTATGGTCACTGTTATATTTGTGAAATTTTTAATCATCACTAATAGCCCATAGCATTGAAAGGCATTTTTAAGATCTCTCTGTTACTAATCAATTATATAATTATTCATTAGTCGTACTGTTGGTTATTAATACCTAATGTCATTAATCATAAAAAGATTTTATTGATTGATATTAGTTGCTAATAACTAATGAGTAATGATTGATATTAGTTGCTAAGAATTAATTAGTAAACTAATTTATAACCAAAAACATTACACCACTCGTAAAATGGCTTCGGAAGCCTTCTGTGGGAGGTAGGTGAGTCACTCCCATGGTTACATTAAGATTTGAAGGCCTGGCCCTCCATGGTAGCACAGCAGGCTTAAGCGCAGCACTGCAAAGATGACCTCGGCCACTTAGGTGCTAGTTCGATCCCCGCCCCAGAGGTGACCACATGGCGCGGCAGACCTCTCCTGACCCGCCGCTGCTCCCCTCAGCAGTGTACTTCATCAGTCTGCCTGTTCTGCTTCCCACTCTGTCTCTGGTGAGTCCTCTCACCACCCCTGCACCTCTGGCATGTACCCTAGTTCTGTATGCATTTAAAAAAAAAAAAGATTTGAAGGTCTGTTTGCAAGGAAGTTGGTGGGCCTTAACTCTACAAGGTCTGCAACTTGAAAACTTGATGCCAGCTAGGAAGTCCAGAAAATGTAAAAATTCACATAATCTTGTACACCATTTATTGAGTTTACCAACCTCCAGAACTTCAAGGGGGTGGGACAGGGGTCAGAGATAAGAGTTGCTTGGTCCAGGTCTAAAATGTTTTGAGCTGCTGCCATTTTAGACTTTTCTTGACTGAGGATAATAAAATAAAACTCAGTTTACCTTCTGTTTCATTCAATTCTCTTCTGAAGACACTGCCATAAGTACATTCACTAGAGTTTTTCTTTTTTGACGAGATGCAATCAACTAAAACAGGTGTTTGATATCAACTTGACTTTTTGATTTTTCTCCCAAAATGTGTGTTCTCCATAAACTTCCTCCAACAGCTAATGTTTTCACCATTGCCCAATGCACATTCAACACTCTGCAGATGTTTACTGAATACTCATGTGAATGAATGAGTGAATGAATAAATGAATGAACAAATAAACATTTCAAAGGGTTTGCCCTCTCCCCATCTGTCTATCTCCCAGAGATAATTATATGTTCACATCTGTGTTATCTAAATGGATTAAGTTTTCTGTTTCTGAGGTTTGGGTGGAAAAAGAATTACTACTGCTGAATATTCAGGAAACAGTTTCAGGATGCCTGAGAATTTCCTACTTCATCTGGAATTTACAAGCCAATCAAAGTATAGAGACCAATGAATACTTCAAGGTAGAATGTGACTTTTCTTCACCTATAGGGTCACTAGAGGCTCTCAGGAGGAAATGGCTCGGAGGAGGAAAAATCAATTGTGGGCACACAGAAATATAATGGGAAAATTGAGGGTCACCTAAAAGTTTGAAAACTTGAGGTTGCTATTTGTAATTGCAAAACCAAAAAACAAAAAAAGATGGAGAAGAGACAGAAGAGTCATTATTTGTCCCCATGACACGTATGTCCTCGCTGCTTCCTCTGCTTGTCCACTTCGCTGAGAAGGCCAGTTCCAGGAAGCAAAGCACTGTTCAGGGTCACAGAGCTTGTTATTTCAAATGCAGGACTTGGACCCAGGGGTTTGCTGGGTTTTTTGGTTTTTTTCCTTTCTTACTTTACACAGCCCTGGCTCAAGCAATACATTATTGAACAATACAATAGAAAGCTTGAGATAAGGTATAAAAAGAGCTTTGTAAACTGTAAAATGCAGCTGAAATGTGAGTTACTGTTATCAAGTT